TTGTGCCTTATTATTTATAATATATATATATATATATATATACACACACACACACACACACACATATATATATATGTATGTATGTATATGTATATATAGGTCGCCTAGGCGTCTGCCTAGTCCCCTAGGCAGTATGAAGGTATATTGGCGCCTCGCCTCGCCTTACCGCCTTACAAACTATCATAGTATATGTTTTTCCAAAATTAATGTGGGTAAAATATATTTACAGGAGTTACCTTCCCAAGGCATGCTAGTATGAAGAAGTCGCCGTTCCGATGCATCCCTCTGCCTAAACTTTGGGTTGACATTTGCGGTTCTTTGGATGTTAAGTATTTGGTCGTGTTTTTCTTCTTTTCAGCAACTCCGAATGCGTTTTAAATTGATTAAATTATCATATTGTGCGACTACATATTTACATTATATACTGATGATGACTGTATCCTCTCTTATCCAAACACCTGCCATTCTATGCTTTCACTATTTACTACTTCATCTTTTATTTAAAAAAATCAACTCCCTCTATATTTAATACTGTATGTTGGATTTTTTAAATCACGATTGACAAACCACAAATAATCCCACAAAAAGCATTAGTTTTGTGATGGACTAACTTTATAAAAACCAAATTACAAAGTACTAATGGTAGAATATATTATTGATACTAATATGGCATGTTTGGGAACATGGATTTGTAATTTGTAATTTTTATTTCTAAATATTACTTCCTCTGTTTGGAAATAAAGTTTTTATTTCTTCTTTTTCTCCATTTGGAAATAAAGTTCTCATTTTAATTTTTATTATACAAACTACTCTAAATATTATCCTCCTTATTTGCCTTATTTCATCTTTTTCAAACGTTTCCTCTCCATTCTTTTTTCTGGATTGAAACAATCTCTCTCCCTTGCTTTTCCCTACAAGTTCCATTTTCTCGAATGAGGACGTTTTGATGTAGTTTTTAAATATGTATGTTTTATTTTTATTTATATACCAATATTTAAATAAAATAGATTGAAAAAACTTGGGATTTTTCTTCGTTTTGCGAACCGGGAAGAAAGTTTTAGGACGGAGAGAGTAATATGGAGTATATTTTACAATGGTGAAATATATATTTATAGAATTATTAAAAAATGAAAAAGTTATTTACAAGTGTATTCAAAGATCTCTTTAAAATATCTAAATGGACCAATAAATTGAAATGCATATATCTACCTCATTAGTGGGTGCATATGTGGATGCACATGTAGCATGCCACATGTCAATACTACAATACATGAACTCTACTTACATATACTAGTATCACACCCGTGCGCTACACGGGTCATTTTTATGTTATTATATTCAAATCATTTTTCATTGATAAAATTAAGATGCAATAGAATATAGATTTTATATTATTATAAGGTAAAAAAACATCATTGCTTTACAAATTTCAGAAGGCTTCTTTAGAGACTACATTATTTGTACAATTTGTGGGAATATTGTCTTCGTTGCATATCAAAATCTTCAACACACTACGATTAGTGACTTTTGAAATTGCAACATAGAGTTGTCAATGACTAAACACATTTTCCTTTTTGGTCGTTCGTGACTACTCAAAATGAATTTAAAAATTTAAATTAGGAAATTATTTACTTTCTATAATACTAAATTATGAATACCTCATTAAAATGCAATTAATACTTAAGTTAGTCACGTATTTTTATAACATAAATCCAAAAGAACTAATCTCTTACTCCCCCTGTCCCATTTTAAATTGCCTATTTGCCTTTTTTCTCCGTCCCAAAATAAATTGCCTGTTAGTTGTTTTCGTAAACTATTAAAAATAAAATACCTAAATTACCCTTAAAATAAGTCATTCTTTTTCACCTTATCTTCTCATTTATCATTAACCCTCTTAAAAAGTAGTGTCAATTTTGAAAATCAACCTTATTTTTTATTTTCCTTAAATATGCCCAAAAGTCAAAACGGGCAATTTAAATTGGGACGGAGGGAGTACTAAGTAGTGTACTCATGAAATGTACTTAAAAATTTAAATTAGGAAATTATTTACTTTCTATAATACTAAATTATTATTACCTCAAAAAAATTAAATTAAGTTCTTTCATAGATTAGGAAATTAGGGGATACGTAAATAATTTAGGTATTAAATGCAATTAGTATTTATTTCCTTTTTGGTCATTCTTGACTACTGGAAATGAATTAAAATATTTAAATCAGAAAATTCTTTACTTTCTATAATACTCAATTATTAATACCTCGTAAAAAAATCCAATAAATACCTTAATTTAGTTACGTATATTAATAACATAATTCCAAAAGTATTAATCAGTTACTAAGTAATATACTCATGAATAATTTTTTATTAAATATAATTTTTTATAAAGTTTTTGTAAAATAAAAATTAATTGTTAAAACATGAAAATATTTATTTCTCTAGTATCACACCCGTATTAAACTTATTGCATTTAGTGAAAACATTTAATTAATAAATAATGTGAAAATATTTAATTAATTGAAATAATGTGTTTTACGAAATGCAATAAGTTTATTGGCATAAATGAATATGCAATATATTTAAAGTTAAAAGTAACTTGATTTTTTTCTAACATGTAAAAAAATATATCTTACATTGCTTATGCTTTTAAGTTAACGAATGGAGACTACTTTCAAGTTGCTAGTTCTTTTATCGTCTCTTGATCTTGATTGTGTCGAGACGATACTACAACTCTGGGTCAAATTATAACCATTTGACATTAACCTGCATGATTAGAATTGTCATAAATTTAAACAACATGTTGATTATATTTTTAAAAACGACAAATTTGCAAGAATACATTTTTTTAGGTGGGGTGCGCCGGGCCTAGGTAGTAGTGCATCACCAAGGCGACGCATGAAAGCCAAAGACAGCAAGCTGCCTTTGTTGGGCCTTCCCCCTGAAAAAATTGAGTTAATATCGTGTGGGCCAATGGCCCACATATCAGATATTAAACTGATAAAAACAGATACCACACTTGATCTTAGCCAAAAGGCCGAGAAAGGTATACAAGAAGAAGAATACATTTAGATTTACTTTTCTCTAAAAGCTTTAACTTCATCAGACTCATCGTTGAGTAAAACTTTGCTCACGGAATAAAATGTTGTAACAAAATTAATTTGGGTACATGTATTCAAAATTAATTTGGGTACATGTATTCAAAATTAATTTGAATTGATTTATAATTATACAATTGTATAGCTTATGTTTCACCATTTGCAACACCCAAATTGGAAGGGTGGAATCCATTGCACTCATACCATCAATGAAAATATTGACATGATTTCCCCATAACGTACAATTTAACCAAACGCCCCTACACAAAAAAAGTTTAAAATTATTATTAAGTTTAATATTTATCAAAATTAAATAAATAATAAATATTTTTGTATTAGCTATTTTAAAAATATATTTCCTAATTACTTTATGTAATGTATATATTATGCTCAATATATTTTTCTTTATTTTCGAAATGCATTTAGTGATTTAAAACATGAAAATATTTACTTCTATTATATCTATTATATAAAAGAAGGATGCAAATTGAGAATCCAAATTCACTCTAATCGGACGGTCCAATTTCATTTGCAATTCACAAATCTGACCGTCCGATGCCAAATGCGGTCAGAATACAATGGCGATTCTTTACAAAAGACATTTGCAGTTTCTACAACACCCAAATTGGAAGGTTGCTTTTGGCTAAAAATACATCAGTATTGCTCACAAAATAGGAGGGTCATCAATAACACTTCTAATGAGGTTGCTTTAAGTATTTCACTATGAGGTTGTTTGCTTTTATTTTTATATACTTTTGATGTAGTTTTTTAATATGTAATTTTTATATCTTATTTTTCATGTTTATACATGCCTGTCAAATATTATAGCAAGGAATGAACCAAATAATATAAGCCCATTACAATAGATACTCTTACTTTAATTTAATTGCTCTAATTTTTTAAATTAAATAAGTTGCCTTTGCTTTTATGAGTTTATTTTGATAAAAAAATAGTCACTTAGTCTTACCGTATTTATAAAATTTTAACTTGTTGCAATTAACCAAGTATAATTTTTTAGAAATAATTCAATTAAAATGAATCTATAAAAAATAACTTAACTGTATGAAAAAAGAAAAGATTTCTCACGTGCATTTATAATGTAAAACAAAAAGAATGCATGAAGTAACAACAAAATTAACGGAAAGACTACTCACACAACACTAACGTGACTTGAAGGACTATTCGCAGAGTTTTTAAAGTAGAAGGCTAACCATGCAACACTAACAAGACTTAAAGGACTATTCGTAAAATTTTCAAAATTGAAAGATGAATCATGCATTATGCAATAACTTGAAGGACCAATTGTAGAACTTAGTTTTAATAGATTATATAACCTCTTTTTCCTTGACCACTTAATTGATTTTCCTATTTTTGACCTTCTAAATGCATAAAAAAGAGCCGCCCATGGAACAATGAGAATACTTTCTTCTTAGTCAATGAGATATGGGTTGGCAAACCCATCTATGAGGCCGAGTTAGCCTTGGGGGAGATGGGGGAATGTGACCACACTAAAAATATTAAGGATTGCTCTTCATGATTGTTCTCTTTGTTCACGTCACAAAACCATTCCAAGACCGGTTCATAAACCTTACTTGTATAGGCACACTTCCAAGCTGGCATTTAGTTTAGTCTTCTACATCCCACGATGTAGCATTTACGTATTAATGGCATATCTGCATTCTTGGCAAATTTTCATGTATAAACCTTTTGAGCATCATCTTGATTTCCAGGCATATCTGCAAAGAGACTCATAACCTTAGTCACTTTCCTCAATAAGTAGCAAGAGTCATATTTGGTTATATTCATATCAGTTTCAAATCTATGAGTATGTTCACACTTGGGAAGGAAAAAAATATGAAAATGAAGTACTCCCCCTTTTTTTGCAAATGCAGTACAATGTAAATGGAAGATCATGTGCTATAAACAAACTAATACAATTCATTAACGAAAAAGTGAGATTCAAATTTTGCATAGGGAGAACTAACACGCTTAAAAAAGGAATCTAATTAAAATTGGAATGGATGCCAATGTGCAACAGATCAGTGACTAAATCATTCAAACACATATAAACAAATGAAATGAACAGTAGAACCCATTAACCGTACCCCTTCATGCCATTTTAAAATTTGATATTAAACATAATTATTTGATATATGATAATCACATTTATGAAAATGGAAATATTGAATCTGAACATCATAATTTAACCAATAGGAAATTTATAATTGCAAATTAATACCTTAATCCCCAATAATAATGTATCCCTCACTACAAGAATTTGTCTGGTCTGCAACGGAAATCTGCTACGGACCTGTTTCCGTAGCAAATCTGCAACGAATCTGCGACGGATAAATTATTGTTGAAAAATGAAAACTGTCTGCGACGGAATTACGTCTTCCGTCGCGGATCTGCAACGAAAAATATGGTGCTGTTGCAA